TGGTTGAGCGGCAGACGAAGAAGTCGGTGTTGATGTTGTGCTCTGACCGAGGAGGGGAGTTCCTCGGGAAGCAGTCCACCGACTTCGTGAACAGCAAGGGGATTGTCCACGACCTGACCTGCCCGTACGCCCCGCAGCAGAACGGCATGGCGGAGCGGGAGATGAGAACGGTGGTGGAGTCGGTGCGGACGATGCTGCTGCACACGGGCGTGCAGCACCACTGGTGGCACCTTGCTCTGCGGCAGGCCGTCTGGGTCCGCAACTGCCCGGAGAGGTCGACACTGCCGCCGGGGACGATAACGTACCAGCTGCTGACTGGGAAGAAGCCCGACTTGTCGCTGGCATGCGTGTGGGGCTGCATGGCGCAGTTCCTCGTCCCTGAGCAGCAGCGCGGTGGGAAGCTGAAGCTGAAGGCCAGGTGCGGCCTTCATCTCGGCGTATCGGAGGAGAGCAAGGGCTGGGAACTCCTCGATATCACCGACGACCGGGTTTTACAATGACATGTCACTGGAGGTGTGGAATTTGGCGCACGGGCCGGCGTCCGGACGGACGCCGGTTCACCCGCCCACGGATACCTCGACGGCGACGCTGCCTCTGCTCGACGCGGTCGGTGAGCTTGCTGGTGAGAACGCCGAGGACGTCCCTACTCTCTGCCCTTCACCTGCCCCTCCCCTTATTGCCGACTTGCATGGGCTGACCCCGGCGTCGGCCTCCGGCGATGAGGGGAGACGTGGGGCGTCACCTGTGGCGCCGGCCCCAAGCATCGCCGGTGGCCGACGTGATGCTGTGCAAGTCAGTGTGGGAGCAAAGCTGACGCTGGCCGAGAAGCAGCAGGTGGTGGAGGAGCGACCGACTTTGGCGAAGACGGCAAAGGAGGGACCAGCAGCGCTGCAGCCGACAGAGGAGCAGGCAGCGACAAAGCCGACCGAGGAACAGTCGGTAACCGGGCAGTCGGCAGGGGAGCCGACCGCACGGGAGAATTCGGCTGGGACGCCGACTGAGGTGCAGCAGGACCCTGAGGGCAGCCACGCCCGTGACGATGGAGGGGACACCGCGGAGTTTACTGACAGCGATGTGGTGGAAGTCCAGGGTGGACCATGACGTACTGGCCGACTTCGAAGGCCGCCGAACTTCTTCGTCCCCGCTGCTTTCACCACGGTGTACGACATGGATGACGACGACCTGGCGTACGATGACGCCGAGGACGATGAGAAGCTGCCGGAGCTCGACCCTAACATGCACGCCAACCCCGAGCACCACTGGGACATCTCTACGATGTCGGTGAAGAAGGCGTTGGCGAGCTAGAAGGGCCAGGCGGTGAAGGCTGCCATGGAGGAGGAGATCCGCAGCCTCATCAACATGGGCACATGGGAGCTGATCGAACGCCCGCCCGGGGTGAACATCATGAAGAACCGGTGGGTGCTGACGACGAAGTACCGCATCAACGACACCGTCGAGCGCGAGAAGGCGAGACTGGTCGTGAAGGGCTTCACGCAAGTGTATGGCGCCGACTACGACGAGACGTACGCGCCAGTGAGCAGCTACGTCACACTGAGGATTTTCCTCAGCATCATCGCCGTCCTCAACCTCAACCTGATGCAGCTCGATATGAAGAATGCCTTTCTGCAGAGCAAGCTCGACCAGGTGTTCTACATGCACCAGCCGGACTACTTCAACGACGGGACCAGCCGGGTGTATAAGCTGCTGAAGAGCCTCTACGGGCTGAAGTAGTCGCCGCTGTTGTGGTACAAGGCGCTCAACAACGTGCTGGTAGGCGCCCGGTGGAAGAAGAGCCAGGTTGACGAGGCTCTGTACTTCAAGGTCGGCGACAACGGAGTGACCTGCTGGGTGCTGGTCTACGTCGACGACCTGCTCGCCGCCAGGAGCTAAAGGAGCTGCTGGAGTCCGCCTTCGAGCTGCGCGAGATCTCGCCGGTGCAGAAGTACCTCGTGCTGGAGATCGTACGCGACAGGTCGGCGGGGAAGCTGTGGCTGCACCAGCAGGGCTACGCTGACAAGCTGTGTAGGCGGTTCATCGACGAGGAACAGACCGTCGAAGACGCCGGTCTCGGTCGACGCCTACGCCGAGCTCACCTTCGACGACGAGGAGGCGCAGGAACGCCAGGAGGAGGAGTACCGGCAGAAGGTCGGCTCGCTGCAGTTCCCGGCGACGACGACGAGGCCGGACATCGCCTTCGCCTGCAGCAAGCTGGGGAGCGGCCTCACGGTAAGGAGCGACCAGCACTGGCGTGAGGTCGACCGCTGCCTCGCCTACCTTGCCAACACGCGTGATATCGCCTTGGAGTTCGGTGGTGGTCCAGAGTCGCTGGAGCTGGTCAGCTATGTGGACGCCGACGACGCCGGTGACAAGCAGAGCCGGACGAGCACGGGCGGCTAGGTGTTCGTCTATGGAGGGGCCACGGTCTCCTGGTCGAGCCAGCACATCAAGTGCGCGACGCTGTCGTCGACCGAGTCGAAGTACGTGGCGGCCACCGAAGCCGGCAAGGAAGGATGCCGCCTTCGCTTCCTTCTTGCAGAGTTCCGGCAGTTGGATGCCGGGAAGCCGTCTGTCCTGCGGGTGGACAACAAGTCAGCCATCACAGTCGCCGAGGGCATGGGGTTGACGGGCAACCTCAAGCATATGGAGCGGCGACAGGCCTGGCTGCAGCACATGGTGGAGCGCGGGAAGTTTTCGCTGAAGTACATCCCGACCACTGAGCAGCCAGCCGACTTCCTGACGAAGGCGTTGCACTACCCGGCCTTCAACCGGTGCTCGGTTGCAATCGGCCAAGTGCGTCTGGCCGATGTGGGCGACGATGACAACGACGTGTAGCAGTAGGTGCCATGCCCTTTTGCATGGCTAGTACGGTGACCGGCGTGCTGTGTGTTGGGTGCTCGCCGACGAGTTATTCTTCGAGAAGTTCTGCCGTGCGGGCTAGGGGGCCCAAGCGTGAACGCGGTAGGGGAGTGTCAACGGGAGTTGGGTGAGGCCCCGTCCTCGATTGGGCGGAGCCGACTTCGTGGTCGGGTGTGAGGGGGGCAGCCGACCTGCAGCAGTGGGCAAGCTGGTCGACAGGGCTGGTCAACCTGCACGGGGGGCCACTGCAAGGGCGCCGACTTCGGGAGGTCGCCAACTTCGGGTGGTCGACTTGTGAAGTCGACGTGTGGAGGGCGTCGACTTGGTGACGCCGACTTAATGATGCCGACTTCGGGCAGCCGACTTGGGTGGTCGGCTGATAGGAGAGTTGGTCGACCCGGAGTGATGTCGACCTGGTGGTCGACCGAACCAGGTGGTCGACGAAGGAGGGGCCGACGTCGACCTCGACAAGAGAGATTGGGGACGTCGAGCTGAAGGGCGTCGAGGAGTAGGACGTCGAGCAGCTGGATGTCAACGCCGACCTTGGGTGGCCGACGACTTGGCGAAGTCGGCGGTCGGGCCCTGAAGTGGTCGACGAGGGGACGCCGACCAGGGAGGACGCCGACTTGGCAGCATCGACCTGGTTGCCCGGTCAACCGGGATACCCGGGCGGCGGGCGCGAGGATCACCAGGGTGACTTCTGCGAGGCCGACCTCGGGGGTGGTATCCCGAGGTCGACGTGGCTGGTTGGCGCAGTCATTGGCGTGGAGTCTGCCAGGCGTCTGCGCTGTGCTCGTGACAAGGTGTGCTGCACCAACCAGCTGCACGCACCTGCGAAGCAGGTGCACTGTTCTCCTGCGAGTGCAATGATGTGCAGCCGACTTGCTGTAGCGTTGTCACACCGTGGACTTGCAACGTTGGTGTACCGCTACTCTGCAGCGCTGGAGCGGTGCGAGCGCTGCTGCGCTGGAGCGTGGTCGACCGTGCTGCGCTGGAGGTCGACCAACAGCCTAGCTAGCTCTGATGTAGTCTGTGATGCCAAAGTTGTTGCTACCATTGTTCTAAACCTTCCCTAGTGGAACTCTTGCCAACTTTCCCCGTGAACTAGCAAGCAGTGTGCACACAAGGAAACGACTGAGGAACAAACGCAGAGATCACACGAGCACCCGTGCCTAGCCCGTAGTCTAGCTCCCGTTGATAGAGTTATCTCCTCAAGTCTCACCGTCGTGGTTGTCCTGGTCGTTGGTAATATGGAGGGTCGGTCGTGTTGGACCGTTCACCCGCGCACGCCAGCCGCACACCCCTCCGCAGGAGAATGTTGAGTCGACTCAAAAGTCGTTTCGACAATACCAGGTGCCGTGTTTGACCATTCCACGGTGCACATCCCCCCCCGGCCTCACATCGCCACGCAAGGAAGCAGCACCTCCATCAACCCAACCCCAGCGATACCATCTGATGCTTACCACCTCCAATTTCGCTCCCTTTGCTTCAGTCACACCTCAATTGCGTCACTTTCTGCCACTAGGGTGGAAATAGGACAATGCAGTGGAGCAGGAGAAAAATAGAGAGGTGAAATCAGCTGGGAAAGTGGGGGAGGGGATTGGCAAATGTAGAGGGTAGTATCCATTGTGCAGCACCTGATGAAGCACCTGATGCTGGAAGCAGCCAACCAGGCATAAAATTATAACAGTTGCACGTGTTCGTGCCGTCCCACTAGCTAATGCGACAATGATATCGTAAGTGCACGTCGGCACCTCATCCAACCCTACTTACCCTTACTGCATTGCACCTCACTATCGTGCACCTTCTTCCATCGCAGCAACACTCTCTGTTCCCAGTGCCCCTGCCATTGATTCGCTCCAAACTTGGGTGCGCTAGGACACTGTGCTACCATAATCACCACCCTCACCACCATCACCCTCACCACCACCACCCTCACAGCCACCACCACCATTAACGCTAAAACCATCCACTGTTTTTTCACTCGTTCTGCCTGACTGTCATAGCATACATGCTCTTCCCTTTTCCAATTAGGAGGTTTTGCCTTTCACGCATTACGATCCGTTTGAACCCACGGCACCTCCAGTTTCCCACGCTCTCATACTTTGAGCTTTCTTATATGATTAAGTACCAGTTTTCTTGCAATGTCCCAAACGTTTGGGCTCCCAAACGTCGTCGGACCCTTCTGTCCTTTCTGCCCCTTTCTGCCCCTCCTGCCCCTCTTGCACTTTCTGCACGTTCTGCCCTTTCTGTCCTTCTGCCGTTTCTGCCGCTCCTGCCCTTTTTGCCCCTTCTGCCCTTTCTGCCCCTTCTGCCCTTTCTGCCCCTTCTGCCCTTTCTGCCCCTCCTGCCCCTTCTGCCCTTTCTGCCCCTTCTGCCCTTTTTGCACCTTCTGCCCTTCTGCCCTTTCTACCCTTTCTGCCCCTTCTGCTCTATCTGCCCTTTCTGCCCCTTCTGCCCCTTCTGCCCTTTCTGACCCTCTACTTCCCTTTCTGTCCTTTTTGCTCCTTTTGCCCTTTCTGCCCTTTCTACCAGCTCTGCACAAATGCACTGGGATCAAACGTCCCACCAGCAAGGTTTTGACCCATTGGTAGCAGCAGCAGCGACAGCGGCAGTGACATCGGTAGCAGCTGCAGCAGCATCGTCGCTAATGAGCGGATGGGTGCTATTTTCCCCACCCACAAGGTTAAGGGGCAGGTGTAGAAGCACACGCTGCACCACACTTTCTAAACAACTGTAGCACTGGCAGCAGCAGCAGCAGCAGCTGTTGTTGCAGGGATTGGATTGGACAACAGGAGCAACAGCAACTCCCCTTGAACGCCTAGTGTTGCCACAGTTGTGGGGGAGGGGGAGGGGGAGGGGCAGGGGGGGAGGGGAACAGGGGAGGGGGAAGAGGGAGGGAGGGGTGCAGGTGGTGTGCTGTGTGTGCATGGAGAGACCTAGGAAGGCAGCGTTCGTCCGGTCAGAGGATGTGCTGCATGTGCGCTCAAGAGGTTAGGGACAGGTGTGGCTGGTGCTTTGTGCAATCGGAAGATCCAGGATGTGCTCAACCTGTTCCAGTCCATAAAAGTATTTCGAGATCACTCAGGGGCAGAAATGCTGGTTTGGGAAAAGGCTCCCTGAATTACCCGTGTTGCACCTCGGCAAAAATTCCAGGGTTGCTAGGTACCTCCCCAGTGAAATTCGTACGGTAGCTAACTGGCTGTATCAGCAGTGTCCTGAAACTCTTGGCCCTAGCTGGCATGGCTGCCAGTGAACCTTATTCCAAAAACATCTAGCCTAAATTCTGTCGTACACATCAAAGTGACCTTAGCCCAAGCCCTCCTCCCCTCCCATTCCTCTGGCCACCCCCAGCACAAGCCCCCAACCCAATCCTCTCTCTCACAGCAGAAGACCCCAAAGGGGAGCAAGTGAAGCACACTACATTGGTTTCATAAAGAAGGTCACGATATCAACATTCCAGGACCTATCCACGATAAGGCTCAAACTCCGTGCAGACAGTGACCTTCACACTAGGAAGGTCCCTTGCAGCATTCGTTGCTGTCAGCCGGTCTCGCATTCCGACGTTCTCAAGGCGGGGAAGGGCCTTCAAGCACTCGATGGCATGCTGATAATCATGAAAGTAAGTCCTCAACCAAAGGGTCTTAAGAAATTTGAAGTGCTTCAGGAGCACCATGCCCTCCTGAGTGATGACTGATGGCAGGCTGAGCCATGTCAGCATTGACAGAGACACCAGATGGGCCAGCCCATTGTCCCTGACATTACACATACCAATATCCAGTGCTTCAAGGCTCGTCAGCTTCCCCACGTGCACCATCCCAGCTGATGTAAAATTTCTGTTGGCATGGTATGGGTTATTCTGGTCATAAGAAAGGACAAGAACTGAAAGGGACCCAAGGCACGTCAAATTGGAAAGCCCAGCATCTGTAACATGCGTCTTGATGAGTTCAAGTCGGCGGAGAGCCGTCAGATAGCCAATTTCCTGAAATTTTGAATCATTAAAACCACTTGACTCAAGCTTCAGCTCCTCCAGCCATGTCATGGTGTAGAGGTGGCTCAAGTCCGTTATGTCGACGCAATAAGGAATTTTGAGACTCTTTAGGGATGTCAAGTAAGGGAGGTGAAGAAGTCCAAGATCACTGACTGGCCCATCGTTGAAGCTCAGCTCCATTACCGTAGTGTTAGGATGAGCATCAATTATCTTAACATCTGCACACGTCAGCCCATTGTAGTAAGGACGCTGTTTCGAAGTTACATAAATAGCCTGAGAACACCAGCACCTTGGAGATTAGCCCGGGAAACAGAAATGATGTGCATGCTCAACACAAACCCCTGACAAGATGACTACTCACCTTCCATACCTTCTTCGTTTGCTCCTTCTGCTGCTCCAACGCTTTAACTACCTGCGCCGATTGTGCTACCAATGTAGACACAAGTGACTGATGGGGCTGAGAAATCGCCTGAAATCGGCACATCGTGAGAAAACGCTAAAACTGGGATGAGTAAACATCGTGTATTCGCGTTTAAGGAATACCATACGAGTAAAGATTCGTTTCCGCTCACCTCCCAAATCTTGCACGTTTCGTCCTTTTGATGCGACAGCAATTCCTCTGCCTGCGAGTGTCGCGCTGTCAGTAAATCCACCTCTTTTTCCTCCCTCGCAGCCCTCTCACCTGCTAGCTCATTCTTAAGCTCGATAATGGCCTTATTGTTTTCCTCCCTCGTTTCTCTCATATGTGTCTCTAAACTCTCCAATCTATCAGTCAGCATTGGGCTCTCCGTGAATTCTCTCCTCGGTCGCTTTTCCGCTTCCAACTCCCTCCTAGCATCGTCGAACCGAACGGCCAATCTCGTCCCTACGCTCACTATCTCCTCCAAAAGCTTTGCGGTCGCCGTCGCCATGATAAAATCGACTCGGCTTGGTGAGTGGACGAACAAACCTATGCACGTTCTGAACGAAACTTGGAAAACTGCCCTAGGATTCTGGAACTGGGTTTTGGCGCCCACGAGAACGGACCAGGCTGGCGGGACTCCTCATGAGATGGCGTTCACAGGAAGTTCCCCCAAAGCGAACCGCGCTCAACAACAGTGCACAGATATTTGTGAAGCACGTGTTTGAGGTTGCTTCACGAAAGTATCTCATGAACGATCTTGAAGTCTACGAGGTTACATGCCCCTGATTGGGTTTGATGATTCGCTCAAACTCGTCCATGTGTGTATCCATATTCGCATGGCACGTGGAGTGGGTGTGGTCAGTTGCAAAACTGCCACGCTGGACCCACTTTTGGGCCTCTTGGGGATACTTCGCTTGGGGGAACTTGCTGTGAACGCCATCTCAGATTGGGGATGGTCCCTTGGTTGGCTTGGAGGGATTGAGTGGGATTCAACAAGGCGACAAGAGTTCACTGTTCTTTATCGTTTGAAAACCCAGCACACCGAAAACAACCGTGGGAAGCGAATGCAATTGAATGCCCCGCAGCATGAAGTTCAAAACGGTGGGGGCGTGTTGATTGAGGTATCTCACTCTTATTCCCTCGCGACCAATCTGCACCAGACGAAATTTACGAAGGCTTGCGAACCAGCAGGAAATCCAGTTTCTGTCCGTTCCCGACATTCCTCTTCGCAATGAGTTCGTGAAACCAGGTCGCACATGATTCCCGTCACACCATCAGGACGCGTTGAAATTGCAAATATCGCAGGATCGTCTGCATATATCGATCCCCACAATCGAGTGGGCAGATCGTTTGGCGAAACGTGGCGACCGCGACGTTGTAACGATCGTGGCTGAAAATTGACAGATTTCCCGCGAACAGTGATCAGTCGCACTCTCACACTGTACAGAAATTTTGGCCAGAAAGCGTACTATAGCATAGTTACAACGTAGTTAATAGGGTAACCGATCCGCACATCGATCGCTACTGACGATCGTTCGTCTACTTTCACCGCGTCCTCAGTTTGCTTTAGTAGAGCACGCAGCGCGCAAGAGCAAGGACAGGAGGACAGAAGCTCTTGGATAGGTCTCAAGGCCCAAGGAAAACCTAAAATTCAGCGGCGGTTTAATGTCGCGCGGTGCGGCATCACATACAGCTGGGTCTTGTGTCATGTTGTTCACACGAAACTGCATTGTTGAAAGCGCATGCAGCCACAGCCATCTACCCAGTAGAAAGAGGAAGCGCATTAGCAAGCGAAGCAACACGGTCAACGCGATTTGCTTCTGAGCTAGGAACGCGATTACTAGCATCGGAAGCTTCAAGTTTGGCTAGTTCCACGCCGACGATCTCATTCAGGGAGTCGATAACAACTATTTTTTAGGCGCCTCAAAAATCGATTTCGAGCTTCGGAAGGTTCAAGTCTGGCCAGTTCCACGACGGCGACCTCATAAAGGGAGTCGATAACAAGCGGAGAAGCAGCTGCTTCTTCAATCGGGTCAGCGTCATCCGCAGCGGGCATTACCGCTGCTGTTTCAGCAACAAGTGGTTTTCCCCCGACAGCATCAGAATCAGATTCAGCAGCTGCGTCAGCATCCGCATACGATTCAGATTCAGCGTCGTCCTCGGCAGCCGTGTTGGACCATTCGCCCGCGCACAGCCTCCCCCAGCCTCACATTGCTCCGCAGGGAAGCAGCACCGCCGTCGCCCCAGCCCCGCCGATATTTCGCTCGGGATACTTCGGTACAAGATCCGAACTCGATATAAGCTCAGATCTCGGTATAATATCGGAATTACACCCAGACGGCTGATGCGAAATGCCCGCCATGATGGGCAGCAGGGAGCCGTTCAAACCCAACCACAGCACGCAGGCAGTGGCGATTGGGAAGAAACACCCATTCGGTACTGTCACATCCGCAGGCGCCGCTGCAGCCGTGGCTGCGTTACAAGCACGGAAGCACTGGGTGAGCAGGGTACATGAAGGGTTACCCCAGGCGGCGGTGGTGGTGCTGCGGATGCTGGTGGTGGTGGCGGCTGCTTGGAGCGCGTGTGCTGTGATGCTCTCCTCCCTCGTTATCATGCCCTGGCTCATGCTCCACCTCTCCACCGCCTCCCACCCGAATTTCCGCGCCCTTCCCCTTGATCACACCTCCGCGGAGTCACTTTCTGCTGCTGGGGGGCAGGGGGGGCAAGGAGGAGGGTGACGATTGAAATTGGGAGAAGGGAGTGAGGGGGGGCAGTGGGGTGTGTGAGCTTGGGAGAGTATCCGTCGCGGCATCTGATGAAACAAGTACCTGTCGAAGCAGCAAGCGAGCAGCGTTGGCGCCAGCTAGCACGACAGTGGAACCAGGCGCTCGCACCTCACCTCCCGCATCTCCTCTCCTCTCGGACCTCCCCCTACTGGACCTTCCCTATCGCACCTCCCCCTACAGCACCTCCTCTTATCACAGCAACACTCTACTTGCTCTATAACTGCCATCGGTGAAGCAGCAGCAGCAGGTGGAACCAACAGCAACTGGGAAAGCAGCCTCGGCAGGTGCTTGTCATTCATTTTTCCAAAGTCGGATGCACCACAACCACATTGTTACCATGTTTCAGTGTTACCACCACCACCATCCAGCGACTTGTCACATGTGCTGTGCCTCCTGACAGTCATGGCATGGCACGCAACAAGCCGTTCAGCCGACTTCACAGCCCGTTCCAGCAATCCATGGGCACCACAGGCCCTCCTCCCTTTGGCACAGGAGGTGTTGCGTGACACACCCTACAATCTTTTTTCGCCCAGCATTTTTGTATTCCCCGTCGCTTTTTCATATTTTTTTATCTATCCCATTCCATCCACCCAATCTGCCGGTTAATGATCCAATGGCTGACAGCGTGCCAGGCCAGTAATGCCCGATTGCCCGAGCCACAGGCTAATGGGTATGCCCCGTCTGCCCCTTCTGCCCCTTCTGCCCCGTCTGCCCCTTCTGCCCCTTCTGCCCCATGTGCCCCATCTGCCCCGTCTATCCCTGCCCCGTCTGCCCCTTTCGCCCTTGTGCACTGGCACGAGCCGTCTCAGCAGCATGAT